CAGCCCAGGCTCTCGGGGACACAGAATGTGGGCTCTTCTTCCCCAGTGCTCTGGGGCTCCAGGTACAAGGAGGTGGGTGGGTTCCCTGGAGGAGGAGGAAGGGAGCCTGGGTCTGGGGCAACTGGACCCTGCGGCGCTTCATATCTGCGTGGGGAGTTTTGAAGTGTGAGAGCTTTGGGAAGAGCCGGCTTCAGGCCCGCCAGCGCTCCCGTCACTAAGCCACACCCCTGAACGATTGTGAAAAGTTTGCGGTAGAATTTTCCCCTTTCTTTTTCTGCAGCGCCCTGTGTGATGAGGGCTCCTGGAAACTGTCGCGGCTCCTCCCAGCACCCTCCCCCCCCCCCCGCCCGGAGCCCCTTAGACTGGCATTGTGCTAGTGGGAACCCCATGTCAGCTGGGGGTTGTGGGGCTTGGCCGCTCCTGTGTTCTACCCCTGGAGGCTCCCACGCAGACCCGCGGACTCTCAGGAAGTCCCCAGGTCACCTCAGGGGCCCGTCGCTTCACGAAGGAAGGAATTCTGGCGGCCTGATCTCTCCCAGCTGTTGCTGCGGTCATCCTCACAGCCACCTTGAGAGTCAGCCTCGGGGCAGCGCCAGACCCTGCAAAGGGTGGGCGTGGCTCGTGCAGTCAGAGCAGGGTGGGAACTGGGAGACTTGGCCCCGCGGTGGTGAGCTGGCCGCAGCTACGCCCAGCCTCCAGTGCCGAGCACGCTGGGAGAGTGGCTCCTTCCTCGCCCTCCAGCTCCGGGGTCAGGGTTAAGGGATGGGTGTGATGGCGCAGAACCACGCGCTTCCCTTCGGGGACGCAGGCTGCTCCGCTGGGTTCAGCCTCATGGAAGGTTTCCTGCGAGTCGTCATCTGCTGGCAGAGCCACACGCAAACACATTTTCACATTCCATTTAATGCTCGGAGGAGCAGAGTTTCTCTGAGGCTACACATTCCTCCACCGTGACGCTCTGCTTCGCCATGCAAGATGTGCCGCGCGATTGTCCCTCTGCGTGCAGGGATTCCACGGCGGCGGGTGGGAGGGAGGGAGCCCGCGGCCCGTGGCGGCCTGGACCCAAGTCTGCTGCGTGGGGAGGTCGGACGCTTCCTCCCCCAGGTTTTAGGGCTTTCTGGACTGTCTCCTAGTGGGATGCTGCTTCAAACTGAGGGAAACTGCCAGAGGCTGGCCGTAACAGCGTGCTGGGAGGGTGTGTGTGACACAGAAGAACACAGAAGTTTCTGCTCCATTCACTTGAGGGTGAACTTGGGCGAGTCATCTCACCCCTCACATCTCTGTTTTCTTCCTTGTGACAAGAGGGCAAATTAGTATGGCCAAGGTGTGTTTTGTTTTGTTTTGTTTTGTTTTTCCTCCGTGTAGCCTTGGCTAGCCTGGACTTGCTTTGTAGACCACGCTGGCCTAGAACTCACAGAGATCCACCTGCCTCTGGCTCCCAAGTGCTGGGATTACAGGCGGGTGCCACCAGGTCCGGCTGTGATTCTTTTTTTAATGTTTAAAATTATATTTATGTGTGTGTTGTGTGAATGTGTACTAATGAGTTTGTATAAGTGTGTGTCTTTCTGAGTGTACATATGTGTCTGTGTGAACATGGGTGAGAGTGTATGTGTTTTTGCATATGCATGTATGTCTGTGTGTCTCTGTATGTGGTGAGTGTGTGTGACATATGTATGTGTGTGGATGTATGTGTGAGACTATGTTTGTGAGTTTGTATCTATGAAAGTGTGTATGTGTGTGTGGTGAGTACGTGTATGTGTGAATGTGACTGTATCTGTGTGTACGTGTGTGTGCGTGGGATGTGTAACTGTGTGAGTGCAAGTGTGTGTGTGTGTATGTCTGAGTGGTTGTAGTATTTGTCAGTGTGTGTATGTGTGTATTAGCCTATGTGTGACTATAGTAAACTATATGTGTTTATGTATGTCCTCTTCATTCTGCAGGGTCTTGGATTTCGGCCGGGCCTGGGCTTCCAGATAGAGAACAGGGGTTCTGCTTCTCTCGGGGGCCACTGGAGCGCTTAGGGCGAGGCCCGAGTGCGCTAGGCTGGGGTGAGGAGAAGTTTTCCACGGACGGAGTGTTCCAGATTAGCCTTTTTAGCATGAGATGGCCGGTGGCAGCGGAAGCTCAGGCGTTCCCAAGCCGATGGCGATACCGAAGGGCTACAGCTCTTGGTCAAGCTGCTGTGGCTGGGCAAGAGGGCAGGCTGGTGAGATGAGACTGGTGGGGGTGGGGGTGGGGGGAGGGGTGGGAGGATGAATGAGGAAGCTCCCCCACCCTATTCCACCCCCCCCCCAAGGCGGAAGGCTGATGGTATTCCTGCCAGTCAGCAGCGTGCACCCACCCCAGCAGGTTTACTTGAAAGCAGGGATTTGCAAACCTTTGGGAGGGATTTTGAGGGTGACTGCATTGGATTCCTGGAGCCAGGGGTCAGGGATACTTGGTTTGCGGGTGCCTCATTTCCCATGCAGCAGCAGGGTCCTACCTGTCACAAGAAGGAAAATAACAGTCCCTAATCATCCCGGGGGGTGGGGGGGACCTCCAGTTGCAGCTGAAGGTCACTGACAGAGACTGAGATCCTTAGCAGGGTGACGCGGCTCCAGGAGAGGGTCTGACTATCATCTGCCTTCCCTGACCTAGGGTCACCCAGACTGGGGGGAGGGGTGGGAATTTTGGGGCCTTGCTGAGAAAAAGGAGGCCACCACCATAGGCCGAGTGCAAATAAATGGCTGCCCAGAGATTGCAACCTAATGCAGCAAAGCCCCACACATGTGTAAGTGTATGTGCGTGTGTATTCATGTGTGTGTGTGTGTGTGTGTGTGTGTGTGTGGTGTGTGAGTGTACATGTGTATGTCAGAAGAGTTGCTGCTTCTTCAAAGTCAGGTTGGACTCGGTGGTGAGCCCTTTTATCTGCTGAGCCAGCAGCTGGCTCACTGAGCTGGCTCACTGGCCCGATGGCACTGTGAAGAGCCTGCGGGAGGCTTTGCTCCTCCAGCTCTCATGGTCACCCAGGCCTTCCCTGCTGCTTCCTGGCTTCCCCTTCAGTCTTCTCTGGGAGCATCTTGAAATGCGGAGGGGCCTGAGACCCACCTCAGGCCCATCTAAGGAGCGTGTTGGGGGGAGGGGTACAGGCATTTGCCAGCATTCCTTGGGTGGTTCTGATGCCAGAGTTGAGAGCTGCTGCCCTCCGAAAGAGGGCCACTGAGCAGGAGACTTTCAGGAATTCTGCAGTGGGAACCTCCTTGGAGGGGTCAGTGCTGTGCCTCTGACCGTCGGGGAAGACATAAGAGCGTTTCCTGCAGTGATTTATGACTTTACTGGGAGTGCCCAGCTCCAGAGTGGGAACTTAACCTGGAGTTGATTGGCTGACTGAGCCCCGCAATCCCGAGCCACCACAGTGTTCATTCTGAGCCCCCGAAAGCAGCACACAGCAACCCCGAGGAAGCGATACAATTTCTCTGGAAATTGGCTCATAGAGAAGCCCAGCTGCTCCCGCTAGTGTGGAAAATGAGAAAGTGAAGAGGAGCAGAAGGTGGCTCCAGGCCAGGCACTGGGAGTTGGGTAGAGTGTAGGAGGGCTGTCCTGTGTGGTTGGGCTTTTGTTTGTGCTCTGAGCACAGATCTGGCTGAACCCCTGTCTCCGGGCCTCCTCGTGTGTGCCTGAGCAGCTGGCTTGTCAGTGTCCCCAGTCCAGCCGTGGGTCCAGAGCATTTTCCAGCTCCCTAGACAGTCTATTGTGAGGAACACACACTTTGTTTGTTTGTTTGTTTATTTATTTATTCATTTATTGTAAATCAAATCTCATGCTTGGTAAGGTCTCTACCACTGAGCTCCACTACAGCTCCTGATGTATGAGCTGCAAACAGGGCTTCAGAGCCCCTGATAATGGATCAGCTTTCAAGGAGGAAAGGTTTGCTTTGACTCAAGGTGTCCATACTTGGCTGGCCCTGTTGCTTTGAGGCCTGAGGTGAGGCAGCGGCAGATGATGATGGGGCATGAGAAAGAGGAGTGGGCAGGGCCAAGGTTTTAACATCTCCTTCAAGGGCACACCCAAGTAACCAAACCTGCTCCCAGTACGTCCCACCTCCTCAAGGTTCTGCCTCAGGCTGCTGATCAAGTCCTTGGCACATGGGCTCTGGGGACATTCATCTAAACCATAGCAGCTTCCAAATCTCTGTCCTTGGAAAGGCCAACACACCTTTATAAAGAAGTGTGAGTGCCAAATCCCCACAGGGAAGAGGGTGCAGGGGAGACTATGAGAGCTTATGGGGGCAGGGCTCCAGGGTGGTTCCTGAAAACAAAGCAAAAGAGCCCTGAGCTGTACTGGAAAAGTTATCGCCAAAGAGCTGTGAACTGCAGAACGGAAATTGCTATGGAAGTGAAAACTCGTTTTGAAATCCGGAAGTGTCGTATTGAATGGATGTTGCAGGGATGGATTGCCCCTTGGGTCTAAGATATGGGAACACAGGTCTGATGGCACACACACAATCTCAGTGCTCAGGAGGCTGAGGCAGGAGGAAAGGCAAGTTGGGAGACAGTTTTGGCCATATAGCCCTGTCCAAAAAACAAACAAACAACTACCCACCAAACCAAAATAAAACAATAAAGAGCAGGAAGGGCTGCAAGTGACTGAATTGAGTTCTTGATGGAAATGACTTAGAGGTGGAAAGATTTATTGTGACTCCCAGTTTCGGAGGTGCTGTCCATGGTTGGTGGATCCATGCTCTGGAACATATTAGCAGGAGAGCTTATGATAGAGGCTGGCTGTGCCTGTGCTGGCCAGGGAGAGAAATGGGCAGGGATGGTGTTCTTCCGAGAGCCCGCCTCCTCCAGCTAGGCCCCACCCACAGCCTTTAGAACCTCAAAGTAGTGCCACCATTTGAGGGACAAAGTATTTAAAGTAGAGCCTGTGCAGGACACTTCCCATCATAGTGAGGTCGCGAGGGAGGGCTGGAGAAGCTCTGAATGGTGGTCACTGAAGTGAGACGCTGTTTTCTCTGACTCCAGGTACCGGGTAAACTTCAGACCCAGATTTGTCACCAGGTATAAGACAGTGACCCAGTTGGAATGGAGGTGCTGCCCTGGCTACAGAGGAGCCGACTGCCAAGAAGGTCCTAGAGACCCCATGAAGACCCCGCGGCTCCCACCTGCTCGGCCAAGAAACAACCTGAAGAAAGCCACAGGTAAAGTGTCATCAGTGCCCTACTGGGCATGGCCAAGTTCCTGGTGTTGATACAAATGGCAGGGTCTAGGACAGACAGGCGAACACCCATGTGGTGGAAATGTTATTTGAAGGGGCTCAGGGCTGCTTGTCAAACATTTTCTTTATTCATATAACCGAATTTGAGGGAGTTAGGATTATCTTTTAAAAATATGAAGCTTAGCCAGGAGTGGCGGTGTGCGTCTGAGAGGCAGAGGCAGAGGCAGGAGGATCGCTGGGAATCTGAGGCTCACTGGGGCAACCCACTGAGACCTTGTCTAACAAATGAATAAACCAGTGACTCAATAAGATGCACATAAGTAGACTTGTTCCCTCTCTGTTCGGATGAGCTGTTTGCAAAGCTTGAAGTCAGAATTCTCATGTGTCAGCAACCTTTTTGCTCTTAAGCATAACGAGGGTGAACTTCTGTGGGTAACTTCTCTTCTTACTATTTTACCCTTGTAGCAGCTTTATTTCCCCTCTTTTTAATTTCAAAGAAATGCAGACCAACTTGTTCTGTAAAATTAAATGTTAAAGTATTGTTTTTTTTAATTTTCCCATAAGACGCTTTAAGTTTTGAAACTAGTAATGTGTCAGAATATTTTTGTAAAGTAGATGTTTAAATAAATTTTATCACCAAAGTAATGCATATAAATTAGTGAGTGTTTGTAAATCACAGGAATTTTTTTTTTTTTTTTTTTTTTTTTTTACTTTAAAATAGTAAAACTTTCAGGCATTGAATGTCTTTAGGATAAATACGGCAATGATTTGCTATGGCATATAAATGTGGGTGGTGACCTCCATTAAGTTAATTAGTACACTCATCACCACCCACACTGGGCTTTAATCCCTGAACATATTCACACTAATAGCCAAAGGGAGGTGCCTTTGGCCAGCGTCTCCCCACTTCCCCCAACTCCAACCAGTCCCCAGTACCCATCATTCCTTGTGCATATGAGTTTGACTCTTTAGATTTCAAGTATAAGTAAAGTCAGAGTGAGAGTGTCAGGACTATACTACATCAAATAATGCCCTCTAGGTTTATCTACCTTGTCTCAAGTGGCTAGACTTTCTTTTTCTTTTTCTTTTTTTAAAGATTTATTTATTTTATGTATATGAGTGTTCTATCTGCATTTACATTAGCCAGAAGAGGGAATCAGTTCACTTTATAGAGGGTTGTGAGCCACCATATGGTCGCTAGGAATTGAACTGATGACCTCTGGAAGAGCAGACAGTGCTCTTAATCACTGAGCCATCTCTCCAGCCCCTCTTTTTCTTTTTAATGTGTGTGTGTTTGTGTGTGTGTGTGTGTGTGTGTGTGTGTGAGAGAGAGAGAGAGAGAGAGAGAGAGAAAGAGAGAGAGAGACATGTTTGCAGGTCCCTATAGATCCAGACGAGGGTATTTGGTCTGTCGGTTGTAAGCTATTGTGAGATGCCTTGTGTAGGAGCTGGGAACCGAACTTGGGTCCTCTCTGGAAGAGCAGCAACCATTCTTAACCTCTAAGCCATGTCTCTAGCCCTGCCTCCATATCTGAATACCAGTACTGCTGTAGGTGAATTTCAAAGCGAAGACTGCTGTGGTGTTTTATATCTGTAATCTCGCATGCAGGAGGCAGAGGCACAGACTGTGAGTTCAAGGACCCTGTCTCAAACCTGCCTGCCCTACGAATGTTTATTGACCTTTTTCTCACAAGCTGGATACTAGCTATTTGGGATAAACCCAACACAGTTTCTGACTCCTGCAAAATAAGCACTGAGCAGTCATTGCAAGCATTGTGAAAGAAATGCTGTGGGAGATGTGAAGCAGGGGCCTGTTGAGTCCCAAGAACTTTTTTTCGGTTCAAGTTTTACTTTATCAAAGTTTAAACATATGTGTAACTTCACAAATCAATGTTTTATGAGGACTAATGGAAGGACACCGATTCACTTTCTGCTTCAGAACTAATTTACTGTCAACACTATTTGCTTTTCTTCGTGCGCTGGGAATTGAACCTAGGGCCTTGTTCATGGCAGGCAGATGCTGTACTCTTGAGCCATGTCTCCAGCAACTTTGACTAGTAGCTGAGTCTAGGAATTGCCCCCTTGTCTGTCGTCTTCTCATTATGGAAGATGAAGCTCTAACTCCCTTTGTCCACTCCTCCGAAGTGCTTTCCAGTTACACAGTCTTTATCCATCATGGATATTTGCTGGATACAGTGCAGTAACTATGCAGAATTTTGTAGGTGAGCCCTGGAGTGCATTATGAATTCCTTAGAGTTGGAAACTGTGTTTTTCCTTTGTTTGGTCTTCAATGCTTTTATTTCTATTTCAACCCAAACTTGTCTCTGTTATGTCTGTCCCTCCTCATGTCCAGGCACAGCAGCAGCATTTGCTTGAAGAGACTCTTCTAGGAATCTTCTCCCACATCCCTCCCACATCTGTAACTAGTCATCCTCCAGCCGTCACCCTGGGGTCTTAACCCTTCTCTCTTGGTTGGAATCTGTCTCCTCAGTTCATCCCTTCATCTGGCTTGAAGACAGCTTCCCATTGCCGCTTTCTCGTTTCTTTCTTTCTTCTTTTGAGATAAGGTCTCATATAGGCCAGGCTAGCCTCAGACTTGCTGTGTAGCTAAGAATAACCTTGAACCTCTGCTCCCCCTGTGTCTATCTCCAAGTGTTCGCAGGTGGGAGCCACCAAGCCTGGTTCGTGGAACTAAAACCCAGGGCTTTGTGCTTGAAAGGCAAGCAAGCAGTCTACCACTGATCTGTGCTCCCAGCCCCTTACAGTTCTTTTATGAAAAGATTATGTAGTAGGTGAACTTGTTTTGCATGTATGTAGTGTGTGCACGCGTGTGCGTGCGCGTGCGTGTGCGCGTGCATACACACGCAGGGGTGTGAGCACATAACTTTTCTTCAGAATTTTTAAGACATGGCTCAATTTTCCTAACTTTTCGATACTGCTGGTACCTAGTCCAAAAACACCCGATTGTAACTTTTCTATGCTTTGGGGTGATCTTTGTCCCTTCTCTTTTATTGCCACATTAATGGTGTCTTTCAAGAAAGGGAAGAAAAATGCTTATTTTCTAGCCATTCATTAGACGGCGAAGCACACATATAATGGCAGAACTTGGAAGGCTACAGCAGGAGGGTTGGAAGTTTGGGATCAGTGTGGTTTACACAGTGAGACCCTGTCTTGAGAACAAATGCTTGCTTTCTCTCTGTAGTATCTTTCATTTACTGGCTTCAGAGAGCGTAGCAAGTACGATTTGATTTTGGTTACTCAAATTATAGATAATTTTTCATTATTATAATTATTTTTTTTGGTGGGGGGAGGATTTGAGACCAGGTTTCACTATGTACCCCTTGGCTGTCCTGGAGCTCCCTATATAGACCAGGCTGGCTTTATGCTCACAGAGATCCACCTGCTTCTGCCTCCTGAGTGCTGGGATTAAAATGTGCACCAACATACTCAGCTGCTCCCCTTGCCTGGCTCAAAATAACATTTTCATTATCTGCGATTCTCTTTTGCTTGTTCTTTTTTTTTTTTTTTTTTTTTTTGAGACAGGATTTCTCTGTGTAGCCATGGCTGTCCTGGAACTTGCTTTGTAGACCTGGCTGGCCTCAAACTCAGAGATCCACTTGCCTCTGCCTCCCAAGTGCTGGGATCAAAGGCATGTGTCACCACTGTCCGGCATTATTTCTAGCATCTTAATATGGAATAAAAATTCCGGTATGTTCTTTATAGTTCTCTACGGGAAAGTACTTGCTTAGGAGTTCAGATATTTGGTTTTGAGTCTTGTTTTCCTGCTAAGCGCACTTTATGAATAAAGGCTGCTTGCTGTGACAGTCTGTGTGAGAGTCGAGAGAAGAGACAGGAAACATGAAACTGGCACACCTACAGCGTGCTGGATTCCAGGCTCTTTCATTGCCAGCCACATGTGCAGCCTATGTGATCGCGACCATGTCATTTGGCTTTCTCCTTTCCGTTGCCTCTCCCTCTGGTTGTCAGGCTTGCTGGTATGAGCCTCGTCCAAAGTCCCTCTACTCCATGGCCACCCAGGGTGGGGAGTTTTTGTCTCCTACTCTTTATTCAGTTGCCTTAGGTTACTGTAGCTGCTTTCTTTTCTTTCTTGTTTAATTTACTGCTTTCTCTCTACTGATGTAATTCCATTTCATGATTCATTACTGTGTTTATTATCTCTCTGTCTTTTGGATTGTTCCCCTACGTTCTTTTTCTCAAAATAAGATTGTTAGAAACCAAATGTTTATATGCTTCCATCTCTTTTTCTTTTCTTTCCTGTCACTGCTCCCCTTTTTCTTGAACCTGGGACTTCATGCATGCTAGGTAGACATCTCGTTTGCATGTCGTATCTGCCATCTCCATAACAAGGCCCAGCAAGACTTTTAGCATAGTAAGGATGCTAAGAAAAGTGAAAGAACATTTCTGGGGGTATTTGAGGACAACCTCTAATCTGGGATGTCACCGCTGAGACGTTTGATCTCTCCGAAGTGCTTTGTGGCATTTTATTCCCAGCAGTCAGCTTATGGGGCACCTACAGTTCAGTGGGAATGATGTGTTCATACGACACAGTAGACAGTAGGCTATAATGACGTCAGTGTGAAAGACATCGCTGACACCTTGCTTGGTGTGCACACTCAGCCCTGGCTCGGCTGCTCATCTTCTTTATAGGGGAGAGCAGTGAAGCTTACAGCGCAAGTAGTAAATAGTAGAGCCCCAACCCCTTCTCTCCCACAGAACTTCTTGCAGCTAGACACTGGGGCCGCCATGGAAGGCTTCGGCATCTTCTGCAGGCACCTTGTAGAGACTGCTTGCTCATGTCCAACCCTTTCTCTGTTTCAGATACTGACCCAAGCCGGGTCTCACAGCCTAAGGCAACCTTGTCACCAACGGACGCAGCACACCCAGGAAAAGCAGCAGATCCAAAGCAAGGTCCTCCGGAACATCAGCAAACCAAAGTCCAGGTGCTGGAGGAGAAGGTTGTCCGACTCACCAGGATGGTACTAGACCTCCAGTCTTCCGTGGAGGAACTGAAGGAGAACCTCAAACACACCATTCAAGACGATGGCAGCAAAGGGCCAGCCTCCTGGCTCGGCCACCAGCACCCGCTGCCAACCCCCGATGGCACCTTTGCGGAAGACACAGAGCTGAGCCAGCTTCCTAGAAGCCTTGGCACCAAGGAATCCGGCATGAAGGATATCAAGTCTGAATTGGAGGAAGTCAAGGACACCCTGAAGACCAAGAGTGACAAGCTGGAGGAGCTGGATGGGAAGGTGAAGGGCTATGAAGGGCAGCTCAAGCAGCTGCAGGAGGCTGCCCAGGGCCCCACCGTCACCATGACAACCAACGAGCTGTACCAGGCCTACGTGGATAGCAAGATCGATGCCCTGCGAGAGGAGCTCATGGAGGGCATGGACCGGAAGCTGGCCGACCTGAAGAACACGTGTGAGTATAAGCTTGTGGGCCTCCAGCAGCAGTGCGACGACTACGGCAGCAGCTACCTGGGGGTGCTCGAGCTGATTGGGGAGAAAGAGGCGAGCCTGAAGAAGGACATTGCTGCCCTGCGGGCCCAGCTGCCAGGCCCCTCGGCCCCGCCAAGTTGCTGTGACAGTCCAAAGGGTGGTGACCTCGGCCAACAGCTCAAGACATTAGACCAGAAAATCGAGAGGGTTGCTGAGGCCACCAGGATGCTGAACGGACGGCTGGACAATGAGTTTGACCGCCTCTCCGTTCCAGAGCCAGGCGCGGACTTTGATGCGCGATGGAACGAGCTGGATGCGAGGATCAACGTGACGGAGAAGAACGCAGAAGAGCACTGCTTTTACATCGAGGAGACCCTCCGGGGCGCCATCAGCGGTGAGGTGGGTGACCTGAGGAAGCTTCTCGACCAGAAGATCCATTCCCTGGAAGACCGGCTGGGGATGGTTCTGCACGTGGCCAACAGCTCCGACGTGGAGTTTCCACCCGAGGGCCCAGCCTTGCCCGGGCAGCCAGGGGCTGGGAATGCGCAGGTCCTGATGGAGTTAAGCCGCCTGAAGGACAAAGTCCAAGTGGTCGAGGACATCTGCATGCAGAGCCTGCCCCACGGGCTGGACGGCGCCCTGCCTAGTGAAGAGGACCTCACACAGGTCAGCCTGAGCCTTTTGGACTCCCTCAATGACACACTGCACAGGAAGTTCCAAGAGACGGACCGCAGCATCCAGAAGCTCCGAGAGGACTTGAGTGCCCTGCACTCTCAGCTGAATCATTCGGGGTGTCGGGGCGCCTGCTCGCAGAGTGGGCTAAGCGACAGCCGAGCCGGCGACAGTGCGGAAGCAAGTGGCTTTACTAAGACCGGGGAGCAGGAGAGGACAGCGGGGACTGTGGCTCCGTGCTGTGGCCAGCTGGAGGAGCGCTGGCAGAGGCTGCAGGACCAGATGCTGGCTGAGCTGGACACGTGCAAGGAGGGTACCCACGGGGTTCAGAGCGGGATGTCTGCCGTGGAGGGCAGGGTGGCCCAGCTGGAGCAGACGTGCAGCAGGCTGGATGCCATCTCGGGGGGTCTGCAGAAGATCAAGGAGGGGCTCAGCAGACACGTGGGCAGCCTGTGGACCTGCCTCCGGCAGATGAACGGGACGCTCAGGTCACACTCCAGAGACATTTCTGGCCTCAAGAACTCCGTGCAGCAGTTCTACAGCCACGTTTTCCAGATTTCTACGGACTTGCAGGATCTGGTCAAATTTCAGCCATCAGCAAGTAAGCGGGTGGACGGCCCCATTCCGTCACACACATTCTCAGTGCAGGGCCCAGCTGCAGTTTGGGAATTAACTGTATCAGTGCTGCCCCAAGTAGGAGTCCTAGGTCAGTGCCAGGGTTAGGGCTGGGGTCAGGAGCAACAAGCCGACAATGAGGAGCCTGGCCAGGCTGGGATGGAGCTGAGCTGGGAGAGTTGCTCAACGGCATGCCTGAGGCCTGAGTTCAGTTCCCAGCCAGGTCAAGGGAGGTGTGGTGGCTCCTGCTCATAATCTTAGAACTTTGGAGAAGGCAGGAAGATCAGAAGTTCAAGGCCAGCATAGGCTACACGAGACGCTGTCTGAAAAGAAATGCATACGAACTCACACACACTCACTCACACTCACATACACTTGCATGCCCACGCACATAGCAGGCACACACACACACACATAAACACACACACACACACACCCCATGAACTTCTGAGATAATATAGCTTCCTGGCAGCATTCAAGCACATGACCTGAACCTTATAAGAGTGTCAGTTTGCAACACACTGCAAATAGAAAAAGGGAAACCTAATTTAGCGCAGACAGATGGCAAAGAATTGATCTGGGCTACGGCTGGGGCTGGGTGAGGGTTTGGCTCAGGGGCTCGGGGTGTGTTGCACTAGCCTGTGCTGGGCGAATCCCCTCCACGCAAAGCCATTGACGTCTCTCCCGGCATCACACTTTGACTGCGTTGTTATCATCTTTGTCACCATCACTTCCATTTCCTAACATCCATTTCGGCCATGGCGCACCTGGGGTGATGTAGATACACACAGGACGCCAGACAAAAGCAGTTTGGGGGCAGGTGACCTAGGAATCCCAGCCATAATGCTAAGAGCAGTGCTCACTGCAGCAGAGGCACACAGCAAGTGTTTGTGGAGGGCTGGAGGCAGCGGCAGTCCCTTGAAAGTTTTAAGGAATGCAGTTCACAGTGGGAGTTTTACTTTTGCCATTTTCATCTAAACTTCACTTCTCTATAAACTTCACTTCTCTACAGCTCTTTCTAATCGGAGTCGAGAGGAGAGGTTGTCTTAGTCAGGGTTACTGTTGCTGTGAAGAAACACCATGGCCAACATAACTTGGGGAGGAAAGGGTTTATTTGTCTTACACTTCCACATCAGTGTCACTGTTCTTCATAGAAGAAGGTCTGGACAGGGAGTTAGGACAGGAACTCAGACAGGGCAGGAACCTGAAGGCAGGACCTGATGCAGAGGCCATGATGCAGAGGCCATGGAGGGATGCTGCTTCCTGGCTTGTTCCTCATGGCTTGCTTAGCTTGCAAGATTTCTGAAGAACCCAGGACCAGTTGCCCAAGGATGACACCACCTGCAGTGGCCTGGGCCCTCCCCCATAACTAATTAAAAAGTGGTTACAGGCGTGCCTATGACCCAATGTTACGAAGGCATTCCTTCCTTTTTATTAAACATAGATTTTTTTTTTTTCCTATCAAGAAGTAAAATCTACAGTTTCCCTCCATCTATTCCTCCCAGTTCCTTCCGCCCATCTGGGTGGATCCGCCCATCTGGATCTACTCCCTTGCTCTCTCTCATCAGAAAAGAACAGGCTTCTAAGAGATAACAACAAAACATAACAAGATAAAACCCAAACCTATCATATAGAAGGCAAACCAACAGAAAAATAGCCCCAAGAGAAGGCCCAAGAATCAAGAGACCCGTGCGTTCACACATTCAGGATTCCCATGAAAGCATTAAACTGAAGCTGTAGTTTTGACCTGCCAAGGATCTGGTGCGAACCCCACAGGTGTGGGCCCCGTGATTGCTGCTTCGGTATCGGAGTTCATGCGAGCTTTGCTCAGTTGTTTTAGAGGGCCTTGTTCTCCTGGTGTCATCCAGGGTGAGCGGCATGGACCCATCTGCATTCTACATGTGACAATCCCGTTTGAACAGCACCACTTAATGAAGATGCTGTCTCTTCACAGTGTGTATTTCAGGCCTCCTTATCAAAGATAAGCTGTCCATGGCTACATGGGCTTCTGTCTGGATCTGCAATTCAATTCAGTTGATCAGTGTGTCTGCTTTTATGCCACTATCATGCTATTTTTATTACTATACTTTGTAGTATAAGAGATCAGGCCTGGTGATACCCCCAGCAGTTCTTTTGTTGTTTAGGATTGTTTTAACTACCCTGGGTGTTTTGGGTTTCCTGTAAAGTTGAGAATTGTCCTTTCAGGATCTGTGAAGAATTGTGTTGGAAGTTTGATGGGGATTACATTGAGGATGAAAATTACTTTTGGTTGGATGGCCATTTTTACTATGTTAATTCTAGTGATCCATGAGCATAGGAGATCTTTCCATCTTCTGCTGTCTTCTTCAATTTCTTTTTTCAAAGTTTTAAAGATTTTGTCTTTCACTTGCTTGGTTAGAGTTACCTCAAGATATTTCATATTATTTGAGGCAATTGTGAAAGATGCTGTTTCCCTGATTTCTTGTTCTGTTTGTCATTTGTATACAGGAGGGCTAATGATTTTTGTGAGTTAATTTTGTATCCAGCTGCTTTGCTGAAAGTGTAGTTCTTTGGTGGAATTTTTGAGGTCACTTATGTATACTAATGTATACTATCGTATCATCTGTGAATCGTGATACTTTGACTCTTTGCTTTCCAAACTGTGAATCCCCTTGATTTCCTTATTGCCCTTATAGTCTTATTCATCTATTTCAGACTATAATACGACTATTAAGATTAATACTCTCATTGATCTATTTAAGACTTCAAGTTCTATATTGAATAGGTATGGAAAGAGTGGAAAACTTTGTCTTGTTTCTGATTTTAGTAGAATTGCTTTGAGTCTCTATTTCAGTTGATGTTGGCTATGGGCTTGCTATAAACTGTGGAGGAATTTTCTTTATTGAGGTTCTTTCCTCCCAGATGACTTTCGCTTGTGTCAAACTGACATAAAATTAACCAGCACAGAGGTCATGTTTATAAAACACTTTCTGTGTGCCAGCATGGTCCAAGCCCTCGAGGGACACTGCAAACGAATGCGTGTGCGCGTGCACACACACACACATACACACACACACACACATGCATGCATGCACGCACGCACACACTTGCATACACACAGCTACCTGGATGGATTCCATAGCGGGTAGGTGGAGATGAGATGCAAGCTGACAGCATGTAAAAATCTTGTGTCTCCCAGGGTAGAATGCCAAATTCCAAGGCCCATGAGCACTCATGGAGCACCAGCTGTGTGTCGAGGAAGCCATTTCCCACTCTCTGCTCTCCTAACTTTCTCTTCTCTTGTCCTCCCACAGGCTTCTCACTTTTTCTACCTTGTTCACTCTGGGTGACTCAGGGCTGTGCCTCCCAGCTGAGTCTTCCTGGCTCCTGGGAGCCTACGCAAACTTCCGAGTAGGCCCCCACCGAGAAGGAGCCATGGGGAGGGCCAAAGCCAGGTCCTGGCACCTCCTGAGGTGCCGGGAGAGTTCATGGTGGTCATGTCGACATGCTCTGGACTTTGTCTTAGAGCACCGTGCTCATTTTACAGATAAAGAGTCATCGGGGCCAAGCAGGGCTGTGCACTGTCCCCAGGCTATCTGCAGCACACCCCACCGAGGCTCTCTCTCAGCCGCTTGTATCTCTGGAATGTACAGTTAAGGTCACCAGTCCTGTGTGTTCACAGAGCAATTGTCCCTTGCAGTCAAAATGCTGTCTGGATTGTGCTTTACAATAACAGACACAGCCAGATATTTCCAGTTAATTGGCAGTGCTGGACAGCGTGGGAATCTGTCTATTCCTAGGCTCTTCTGTGTGAGGTTGGGTAACTCTGGAGACGATGCCGTTTCCACGCACCATCCTTCAGATTGGGGCCACACTGTGAATGTGGACCACGTGGGCTTGGGAGAACTTGTGATTAAGAGGAGCCAAAAATAAGCAGTGTTCTCTGACCTCCAGAGCCACACCCAGGGCCCAGGAGACTGAGAAACCAACAGCAGAACATTTGCTGAGCACTGCATGTGAGGCGCTGTGAGGGTGCGCAGAGACCACGGGTGCCATCCTTCCCCACAAAGCATCCTCAGGTCTGTGAAGAGAGTGCAGTCTGAGCTCAGTGAAGGAGGGAGTGTGGGCTGTGCAGGGACCCGCTCTCTACCCAGGAGCGCTCAGTGCGCCCCCTGTAAGTAGGATCCAGTGGCTCGGTATGCGGCAAATGTGAATAAGATAAAAGGCCAGCAGGGAACCAGACATGGAGGGTCACAGGAATTGGCTGTGACCTCACTGGAACACTGAGGGCTTCTCAAAGGAAGAAGCCGTTCATTGCCGTTCATTGAGCTGTTCATTGCTGAATCTAGTTGAGAAGGGAGGATAAGAAAAACTTCCAGAAGAATGTGCACGGATAACTGGGAAGTGAGAAGTCACGAGACAGGAAGAGAAGGCATCGGTGGGAAAGACTTCGGTGTGAGAGGGTGGTATTTTTCTGTTCTGTAATCTCCTACCCCAATCTCGGTGGCGGCTATTTTCCGATAGTCGTGGGTCAGGAGGCTGCACGGGGCTCAGCAGCTCTTCTGTGCAATGTCAACCCAAGTCAGTTACCCACATAGCTGTGCTCTGTGCGTGGCAGGAAGGTTCAGGTTCACGGCGGCCACAGACCTGGCGTCTTGGTGAGCCTCTTCCTGAGTGTCTGTGTGGACTTCCTCACATTTTGCTGCTCTCAAGGAGTAGAATGTCCAACGTGGTGGTAGCTGGCTTACAGAGAGAAAGCAAAGCTATGGTCTCCTACAGGCGTGGACTGGAGCTAGCCTGGAGCCGCTCCTGCGGCGTTCATTCTGTCGGTCACAGCAAAGGAGCTGAAGGGTAGCATGGTTTCCACATTGGGAGGACAGAGTTCCAATGTGGAGTCCCTCCTCCCACAGAGAGCAGCAGCCCAGGGGAGGGGGTGAGGACCGATTGCAGGCCGGGAACATAAACTCGTGTTCCCATTGTCTGCTCACAGATCCTGTTCTTGTGAGG